GTATAAACTTTATTATGAATTAAATTATATACTGTAATTATACTTATATATGATTTAATAAAAAATATTAATATCATATTGGCGTCAACTTCGGGGATGCGATCTGCACTAGTTAAAATGCTTTATAATACTATAAATTTGTGTAGTATTAAAGCTTTGAAATATAATCAGCACTATATGTTCGAATTCGCTCGATTTTTTCAATCCCTTGGTTAGTACTGAAATACTTCTATGCTGATCTCCAATTCGTAAATTTAAAACACATAATATCGCTCCACTGAGGCTCATTATTGCTTTGCAATGGGCTTTGCCCTATAACGTCATATGATTTCGAAGTTACGATGTGGTTATGCTCCAATAATTTATTATACATATAGATTAGATCTGTTAGCATCCTTACTCTGCGAGTTAAGCTCGATAATTAACTTTGCCTTTTACTTTATACTTTCTAATAGGGCGTTTCTTTACTGCTCTAGTCTTATGCGCATGTGTAACTTCTATATCCAAACTAGATGTGGAAGAATTACTTGAATCGCTAACAGAAGATTCTGACTCAGATATTGAAATAGTTCTAGCAACCTTAGCTTTTCTATTTTTTTTCTTCTTTCTATGTAAACTAGTATGACAGTGTTGATATTTGTAGGAATCAGAAATAATATGGTGTGAAGTACCCTTTTCTACAGCATGAATTATAAATCTAATTATGTCCTCAATATCTTTCGGAGATGGATTGGAATTGGGTGAGTTATTTTTCTTGGAGCTGTCTTTATTACTATTTTCTTTGATTAATGGGATACTCATACTATCTATTACAATTCTAGCATAGCTATCATAGGTTTTGGGAGAATGTCCAAAGCTAATTTTTGCTTTATACATCTATAACCAATCCCGTTCTAGCACCAAATCAAATAATGGATTTTTGCGAATTTGAAAATCTATTACTTCGGTACCATCTAAGCTTCGCTATTGTCTTTATACCGAAATTGCAAATCTAAGCATTTTATTTCTTTGCCTATCAAATCATCACTAGATATACCTTCTAACCCATAATCTTCTTCAAGCTTATTATACAAGCACTTGCTAATAGTATTGGATTTAGATATTGTATCGATTAATGCTTTTACTGAGATTTTTTCCTCTATGATTGTTTTTATGAAAACCATGTCAAATATTGCTAAAAGCAACTACACAGTAGCTATTTAATGATATATATTATAACTGAAAAAATAACTAAATTTAGATAATTAATTTTAGA